AATTACTCTTGCAGAATAAGTTACAGCTGTTGAAATTTAATATTAACTAACGCGTCAATTACGTCATCCATGACAATGTGTAACAGTCGGGAGGAATCATGAAACTAGATTGAATATGCGTAAATTTCGCTCCAACTGGATTTCTATCGATCGAGCATGGTACGAAAAATGAGACAATTGTTATTTCGTTTGTTCAGAATTCGCGTTGAATTGTCAGTTTTCTCCTTTAATTCTTGTTAGTTGAAAAAGTCGCTATAGTTGGCTAGTTACTTTTAAGTATTCGCTGTACCGTATATGATCGGGTTTGTGACACTTACGACTGCATTTTTGCGGATTCGTACGATACAACGACGCGGTTTTAACCTCGATTCGAGAAAACAGATTATCGAAAGTGTGTCTACAACGATACATAGCTGTCTGACAAGTAGCCACGTAGCCGTATACTTTGTTTGTTATTTAAATAATAGTTCCTTTGCATGGGGGATGTAATCGTTGGCGTAGAAATAGTCTGTTTTATCGTGGCAGTACGAACAAACCACGAGGTACGAGAAATAACGTGCGAGTGTTTCTCATTGTTCTCGTGCGTTTGCTACTCACGGGGATCGTATTACATCGATTAAAAAAACGTTAGTTACGACGATTTAGAGGTGGTATTATTTCTAATAATATTCTACGTAACGAAGAAAGTTAAAATTCGCGAGCGAATCAGCCGGGTTGCATATACAATTGATCGAAAGAAAGATATTCCGAGAATGTATATCGAAGCAACATCGCCTTGATACAAATTTGTACTTGAGCTCGACTGTACTTGAAACGTGACTCACTAACGCATCATTTCGCGGGGTAGATCTTTTCCAAGAGCCAAACGAACAAGCAAACCAAGTCTATAATCCTACACACCTATTGACCACGCTCATCTCATTTGCCCCGTCGTCATCGGTATTAAAAGCATCATGATTGCGTTACAATTTTCTTAGTTTTCGCACGTGTCTTCGTATCGCGATTATGCCACGCGATAGAACGTCGAACACGTTCGTCATCGGTGACTGTTAGAAGAAGGCGGGCGATTCAACGATGCCAAGCTGTCTGGTCTTTTTCTTCTTCCCTGCCAAATATTAGCTAACTACCTTGATTTGCGATTTAATTTAAGAATTTGGCAATCGTAAGTAACACGCCAATGTCACGATGATGTTGAAAAGGTCGATGCTCTCGTCGAAACAAATTGATATTCGCTTTTCTTATTCAAGCGATCAGCTGTCCGCCAACAAAGAATGTATCGCGAGAGAGAGAATTTCGCGCAAACATAAAATTTCAGGTTGGTCATTTCTCTCTCTCTCTCTCTCTCTCTCTCTCTCACTCTCACTCTCACTCTCACTCTCACTCTCACTCTCACTCTCACTCACTCACTCACTCACTCACTCACTCACTCACTCACTCACTCACTCACTCACTCACTCACTCACTCACTCACTCACTCACTCACTCACTCACTCACTCACTCACTCACTCACTCACTCACTCAATTATCGCGTCCCCTAATAACCCTAGGTGTGAATATCGAACTCAGCTTCCAGATGTTATTTAAAAAAGTCATTAACGAGATCGTGTATAGAGAGACTGAGCAGCAACCATCCTCGTGCATAACTATTTTTGGACGATAACGTTTGCGTAATATTCACCGACGTGGATTCCTTGGAAAATAAAAATAGTATTTATATTGTAGTTTTAAAAGTTATCGTCGAATGATTATCGGGAGAAATTTGATCGTTATTGAAACTGGATGTGAAATAAGACGAATGCTTTCTGCAGACCGATCGGTTCTTCGATGTACGTACTTACTTAAGTATCTAGCTGAAATTTAATCTGTCGTCGTTAGACTCCGGATACACGTGGTGATATACATGTATATCGTCTTATCAGTTATTTTCGTATTATTTTTCTCTTGTTTACAGGTATTCGTTTTTCGATGGATGTCTCGCGGGACGAGGTGAAAGCCTTATCGGCGCTAATGACTTTTAAATGTGCCTGCGTGGACGTCCCGTTTGGCGGAGCTAAAGCCGGTATCAAGATTAATCCGAAACAATATTCGGAACATGAGCTCGAAAAGATCACGAGAAGATTCACGCTAGAGCTTGCGAAAAAAGGATTTATCGGTGAGATGCGTAGGAAAATTTTCTTTCTTTCAGTTACGCAAATATCCGTTTTTGTTTCGACTATATAAACTCCGTCCTTGGTCGTTTTCTGCGATAAAATACTTTCTATTCGTCTCTGATTTCTTGTATATCAGTATGTATATCACTCGTAGTCTTTCGATATTTGTGACGCGCGGTGGTAATCGAGATAGAATCTATAAGATTTTCGTTCGTATCGAAAGGACCCGGCCTCGACGTTCCTGCGCCAGACATGGGAACTGGAGAACGTGAAATGTCCTGGATCGCAGACACATACGCCAAAACTATAGGCCACTTGGATATCAACGCCCACGCGTGTGTGACCGGAAAGCCTATCAATCAAGGTGGAATTCATGGACGCATTTCTGCGACAGGGCGTGGTGTGTTTCACGGACTGGAGAACTTCATCAAGGAATCGAATTATATGAAGATGATCGGTTAGAGAGAGTTTCCTATTTTTACGCACACACCCACGCAGTTAGCTTGCGGTTATTTCCCCTCGTGATCATCTTATCCTGTTTAGGCAGCACACCCGGTTGGGAAGGGAAGTCTTTCATTATACAAGGTTTCGGTAACGTTGGTCTACACTCGATGCGCTACTTGCACCGTGCCGGTGCTTCCTGCATAGGGGTAATCGAACACGATGGTTCTATCTATAATCCGAATGGCATCGACCCCAAGGTAAGCAACTACGATTTTCGTACGTGTAATATAATATTAAGAAAAAAATTGGATACATTAGCATCTGGAAGATTACCGCATCGAGAACGGTACTGTTGTGGGCTTCCCTGGTGCTGAAGAGTACAAAGGTGACAATCTTATGTACGAACCTTGTGATATATTTATACCCGCCGCAGTCGAGAAAGTTATCACGAAAGATAATGCCTGTAACATTCAGGTAAAACATGTTGGAATATCCGTTCTCTTAAACCGTCGACGTGCTAGTTGTCGTCCTTTTTATTCATCTTTTCGTTGATTCAGGCAAAAATCATAGCTGAAGCTGCCAACGGACCGACTACTCCGGCTGCCGATAAAATTTTAATCGAGCGAAATATCCTGGTTATACCAGATTTGTACATCAACGCCGGTGGTGTTACCGTTTCTTTCTTCGAGTGGTTGAAGAACCTGAATCACGTATCGTACGGCCGTTTGACTTTCAAATACGAAAGAGAATCCAACTACCACTTGTTAGGTGCGTACGATAGATTCGACACGTAGATTTGACCAATCCAATTGGATCGTCCTATCCATATGTGCCTTCTTAACTTTTTGCAGAATCCGTACAGGAGTCGTTAGAACGTAAGTTCAAAAGTCAAATTCCCGTTACACCTTCCGAGGCGTTCCAGAAACGTATCTCCGGTGCTTCGGAAAAAGACATCGTCCATTCCGGTTTAGACTACACCATGGAAAGATCCGCTAGAGTAATTAACCTTTCACTACTGTGTTGCCGAAAAAATAAAAAATAAATTAATTACTTTATTTTCATTTTGCGACACAGGCTATCATGAAGACGGCTCAGCGATTCAATCTGGGATTGGACTTGAGGACAGCAGCTTACGCTAATTCTATCGAAAAGATATTTACCACGTACTCCGAAGCAGGTCTTGCGTTTTAAACGTAAAGTATTGTCTTTATATCAGTGGAAAGTTTAAATCGCATAAGTGGGGAACCGCAAGAAATTCTCGAGCCAGTATTTTAAAAACTATCTTGTCCAGTGTTGTTCAGTTCAAGGAAGACTAAAACTAGCAGTGGAAATATATCGTGTACTTATATGATCGCATGCTAGTCGTTCTTCGAACACGTACATATATAAAAATTTGCCTAACGAACGTTCTCTTGCACGAATCAAGTATACGACGCGTATGTACACCACCCACCACCAGTGCACAAGTCGAACGTGCGAGCTATGCGTTATCAGTGAATTTGGAACAAAGTATTTTCACGTATTTTTCTCAACTGAAATTCATTCTGCAAACTAGATTGTGAAACACTTTTTAAAATCGGTATATTCGGTGGATATATTTAAGAAAAGGTCGATCGATCGTTTGTTAATTCCAATCCCCCCCCCCGAATATACAGATTTGCAGTATGTTAGTATTTACGGAGAGCAGCGGAGACTCGTTTCTACAACCGAATTCGAAAGCACCATGTGTATCATACAGTAATATTGTTATACATTCGAAGGGTATGCCAATAAACACGTGCTCTTAATTAAAATTGATCTTATCGTTTTTCAATCGTTTCCCCTACCCCCCTCCGCTATTTTTAAAAGAGTTACGTTCAACCTGAATCGAGAATCTTTATTCTCACGTCTTACGCACGTTTTTGCCTACTGTTTTATAAATGACTCGCTTCCAATTGCCAACGTAGTTCTATTAAAACAAATCGTACGTATCCTTGTCGCATGCAAATACGTTGTTGCGAACGTTGTTCTTTTAAATTTGTGCGATCTCGTGACGCGTACTAAATATAGCAATGTCAAAACCAGTTAGGTCCGCGAGTTTAATACGTGTGCGCGTGCAACCAGACATCCTATGACTGAATATTTTTGTCTTAATATTACGCAACGGATTCGAAGGTTTACCAACGAAAACATGTCCTACTCCATGCTATATAAATCTACATTTACGTATACTTCAATATACATACATATGCATACGTGTCCGACTTGGTTCAAAATGTTCTTGACTTTGCGTTTTTTCTCTACAGCTACCCCGTTTAAGCTATCCTCTGAACTTTATATCAAGTTTCAGCCACCGCAGGTGCTTTCGATATCGCTCGAAGAGAAAAGTTTTACGGTAGAACGATTGGATGACTAAGTATTGTCCTATACTACTAGTTAGGGCGGCGGCCGCCCCCGTATAAAGCGTCATGGCATTGCGACGCTGTCTTCATTCGTCTTGTTAGTTCTTTCAACGATACGCAACAATCGACGCAAGGTGAATACGTGTTTGTCTATTGGTTGTTCCATCGCAACAACATCTCGCATATTCTGGTGTCCTTAATCCGATATTCAACTGCCGACACGTCGTGCGAATGTCTGCCGGAAATTCGATAAACACGATACGCTTAACGAAATTAAGCGCACGACAACCGGTACAAGGACCGCGGGTTTTCACATAGACATAATTCTGCGTGCACGAGCCACGTGTACATTTTATCCTAGCCAACTCCTTCTCGTACCACCAACGATCTTTCAAATCGATCAACTGCTCGAACGACAACGATTACTCTCCTTCCACCTCGCTCTATACATTTTACGTATGTACATACATATTTCTACACTCACCGGTATACGCTTTCTGATTTAGGTGGCGAGATTCGAATCCCGTGTGAGTCCTATTGACATGTCCATTCCTATGGCAACTTTAAGCAATGGAATACAGATGAACACGCGACCGGATGATATACAGAATCGCGTAATCGGCGGTGAGTTTGAGCAACAACGATTTACCACCTTACGTGTACGTGTACGTGTGTTTAACAAATTTGGTTCAAGATCGAACTATTTGCTGAACATGTCGGTCGCATAGTTGGCTTACACCGCATCAAATATTACTCGAGTGTAAGGAAGGTCAAATATCTCTTTACACTACGCGAGTAAAGTAAAGTACTCAGGTGCTACGTTCACAGAAACGTTAAAGGTCGTCCATTATTCTACGACCGCATTTCGAACCTCTGTTGCGTGTTTTACCCTTGATTTCCGATAAATCGGATTTACCAACGTAAATATCCATATTACCACCTTCCATTATATCGCGTTCCACTTTTTAAAAATTAATCGACAACAGTATTATATACACAAGTATACAATATGGAATATTCCGTTCTCTAAGATGGTGAAAAAAGGAAAAAGAGAGGGTGGGTGCGCGTGTTTCGCGCATTTCGCGCATATCGATATGACTAAAGGGAAAGAACAATAACGAGCATCTACCCAAGGAAGAGAGAGAGAGACTACCCACGTGGGTGTTTAAACACAGCCTTAGGCGCTCTTTCGTAGCGAACCGTCGGATCTCGACTTGGCCCGATATACCTACACAAGTACTTACTTCGTTCTCTCTCTCTCTCTCTCTCTCTCTCTCTCTCTCCCTCTCTCTCTCCCTCTCCCCTCCCCCCGGTCACTATCCCAAGCCCTCCCCCCTCTTTTCTTTCTTCCGAGTTCAAAGACGGATTCGTGAGGTTTTCGCCCACATGGAGAATAATAATCACCTCGAGATAGCAGAGGGTAAGCGGAACCAACTTTTAATACGTTTTCCGAATGTAGGTTGTGCACACACAATACCGCGTCTATCGATCTGAGCGTGAATAGAGTGAAAGTATTTGCAAAGTTAAGAGAAAGAGAGAAAGTTGAGTATTGTACTAGCCCTGAAAAAGATTGGCGAAATTAATATTTTTTCAGTGGAAGAATACGCGCCACCGGATGAGAGCGTGTGCAAAAGTATTCTCGTGGCACTATCTTGGGTTGTCGTGATTCTAACAATGCCTTTTTCCCTACTGATTTGCTTCAAGGTGAGGAATCACCTGAAATCATGAAATCATAAAAAGTAAAGAGTGAAATTGTTCAGGTGGTACAGGAGTACGAGAGAGCGGTGATATTTCGTCTAGGACGACTTCTTAGCGGTGGTGCTAAAGGACCCGGTAATATAACTTCTATGTATTCTCGTTACCTAATCTACTCGTTACTCGTTGAATACTTGTAGGCATGTTCTTCATCCTGCCCTGCATCGATAATTATGCCCGAGTTGATCTACGAACGCGAACGTACGACGTACCGCCTCAAGAGGTAAATCGATACACGCCTGGTGCATTTGCACGGGGAGAAAGAAACTATTGTAGGAGGATTTTCGTTGAAACCAGGTACTGACGAAAGACAGTGTGACGGTATCGGTTGACGCAGTGGTATACTATCGTGTGAACAATGCAACCATTTCGATTACGAACGTGGAGAACGCGGATCACAGCACGAAACTGTTGGCTCAAACTACGCTACGGAACACCATGGGAACTAGACCGCTTCACGAGATCCTCAGTGAGCGTGAAACGATCTCCGGAAATATGCAGGTTAATTCATATACATACATATATGTATATGTATATATCTTCTAATTCGCTTCGAAATTAGCCTCACCTTCGAATGTTTCAAACAAAATGAAATCTCAGGTCTCGTTGGACGAAGCTACGGATACATGGGGAATAAAAGTGGAACGAGTGGAAATGTAAGTATCACACGTAGGTACATATGTATACACCTTCTTTCCTTCGTATTTACGTCGATCTAATCTTTTCCAGCAAAGATGTACGATTGCCAGTCCAGTTGCAGAGAGCTATGGCTGCGGAAGCTGAAGCTGCTCGCGAAGCTCGCGCCAAGGTTCCTTTTCCTCTCCTACCTGCCTAGATCATCTACGTAGACGATGATTAACCAACATTTCCCTTCGTTGCGCAGGTAATCGCAGCCGAGGGTGAACGAAAAGCCAGTCGTGCGTTGAGGGAAGCGTCGGAGGTAATCGGAGATTCTCCTGCAGCGTTGCAGCTTCGCTACTTGCAAGTGCGTACTACGTCAATAAATCAGCTACCTCCGTTTCATTTTATTTATTTCGACTATTTTCAGACTTTGAACACTATCTCGGCGGAGAAAAATTCAACGATCGTATTCCCCTTACCGATCGATTTGTTGACCTATTTCATGAAAGCGAACGTCGCCAATAATTCTTAATACCTCACTACACCTTCTTATCTATTCTATTCTTATCCTACTGGTAACGGTAATGAAATTATCGATATTTCACTAATTCGATCACGGATTTCGGACGTTAAATATGATAATAAATATGACGGCTCGATTTAACATTGGCTAAATAACTGTCCGGCTAAATATTATATACGAGAATAGTATCCCGTTCAAGGATAGAGCTGATCGTTGTGGACATGGAAAAGATCAGCAAGGCTCGAGGTAAAGAATAGGCATAAGAACGAAATAGATTCGTCTCCGGATAAAAATGACGAGACCCATTCAAGTGTTATACGTTATATTACAAGAAAGTTTATTGCGAATAATTATAGTATCGGTACACGTTAAAACTAACAATCTAAACTAAATCTACCTCTGTGTCACGTACAAGTTTCTATCTCTGTTTATGATATTATATTACGTTGTTCGATGTACTGGCGATCTATTTAATATATTTTTATCGAGATCTCTAAGACTATTGTAAATGGATAAGTGAATAATAATTAGCTATGAACGTATTTATCTTGATTATTACGATTCGAACGGAACATTTCGAACAAGTATCTACGTATTTTCTTATTTTTCGTAATCGTCATCTTAATTTCGTCGTGCATGGTTGCTGTATGTAATTCAGACAGAATCCTCTATTCCCAACATCGTTTGGCGCTTCTACGCTATCCGTGTGAAGTATTAGCCTAAATGGTTTCACGGTACCTAAGAAACGAATGCTTGTTATGCACGTTCCATGTGACCTTGCAACGTCACGCAACACTAATTCCCATTTTTATCGTTAGTTTCCAGTTACGGAAGTCGGGAAAAAAAAAAAGAAAGAATAAGTACTCACTGATAACGGAAGACGCGTTCAAATTTTGATTTTCTGCGTTAAATGTTCCACCACATATCCGGTCGACGCAAGTCATCGTAGCGGTCGGTAATTTACCGACATTGGACACGCAGGGGATCGTTAACCAGTCGGTTTGGCAGGTTGCTCCTGTCATTGACGCTATTTGCATTGCCTGGGTGTTTCCCGTTAATGTAAACGCATTACTACGCGCCATTTGTGTCGGTGCTGAGGTTCCACCGGCTGGAATCGCTGCCTCACCTTTTTCTCCAACATTAACGTATTGCCAGATTAACACAAACTTCACAAATCACCGTTTCAACATCTTTATCGACACACTACCTTCTTTATCACCAACTGGACATGTCATGTACTGAATACCACAAAAGTTTCTTTCCATTCTAATGCAGATGCTGTAATCTTGATTCGATAATTGCAGTCCAGTGATAGAATTATAATTGAACGACTTTATTTCTCCGGATATCCCTGTAAAATATTGCAAACATCCTTCTTCCGCCCTGTATATCGTGTTGCAACGAATTTGAGAAACTCGTACTTTCCAAGATCGAGGAAAAGAATGTCCACTTGTAACGAACGTTAACGTAACAGGATTCGTTTGTCCGAGACCAGAATCGATGTATACTGTATACAGGTACAGAAACGATCTTTATTGCTCGCAATCAGATGTAAAACGATAAATCCACTGTTACGTACTATGATTCCCGGTGTTACTTCCACATATAGTGGGCACCGGATTGCCCCCAGAAACGATAAATTGATCATAGACACACTGATGGTTCGTCGTTTCAGGACCTCTTATGTTGAATTGCACGAAATCCAGTCTATAAAAGATTACATCGATACTCCTCTCTCTCTCTCTCTCTATTCTATCTATCCAATATAGCTTAAGACGAAATAGAAGGGAGCTCACCTAAATTGGCATACAGTTGGATGCGACTTAATCAACGTTAACTGACAGGATAGCGTACCGTCGAAAGTCGATGGATAATTCGGATTAACGAAATACGTATTATTGTTGGCAGTCGTCTCGCCGCAAGATACAGTTACTGACGTACGTTTCCAAGAGAAGAGAAAGGAAAGGAAAATACACGATTAAATATCGTTTCACCGTTAAAGCTACAGCACTCTATTGTTAAAAAGAAACAAAGAAAACTAGCATACCGATGCAACAAACCCCGTAATCATTTGCACAAACCCCGCTAGCTACGCCTCCGCGTTGCAAACATTCCGACGCTGTCACACAGGTACCATTTTCTCCATTCGATCCAATACAAACGTTGTTGTCAAATTTCACCAAAGTGAACAATGAAAAAACTAGATACATAGACGAATTATCCCTTCAAGTTAAACATAGTTATACATGGATTAAAATAAATGACTAAACTTACGTCGCTTTTCTCTGCCGACATGACTACTCGGTACACCACTTTCAGAATGAATCGACTGCAATTTACTCTTCAGCGATGAATCAGGTAATGATGATTCGTTGACGTGATTATTATTTGTTTGCCAAAAGTATCGGAATCTTCTCAGAGAATTCCATGCGTCAACGTTCGTACACATTGCCATTGAATATAATAAAAGTGTGATGAAATAATATCTGTGCATTGTCGAATGAAACATCTAAGGAACGGCTGTCATGCGTGCAGCAATGTTGTTGTAATTTTTTAATGGGGTCACGACGACCAGAGCAAAGAGCGGTGACCGCAACACTTTTCCAAAGTCAACAACAAATTGCTGCTGCTGCTGCTGCTACGGCGACCGCGCTTCGACTATGTGGCCAACGAAAAGCTCCAAGGATAATATACCTGGGAACGCGTTTACACGGTCTGTATGTCACGCGACAAGTTAATGGAAACGCCGAAAATATTTAGTTTTGTCGAGCGTCGATCTCTAAGAAAATTACGGGAAAGTCGAGAAACCTTCGAGAAATCGACGCCACCACTTTGTAACACCTATCCATTGTACTTATCCTTCGAGTCGAGTCGAGTCGAGTCGAGTAGAGACAACAGTTTTACTTTCACAGCCCTAATTAAACAAATTTAGACGCTTTTTCCTTTCTGATAAACCTTACACTTGGAAACTTCTATTCTCATTCTTATCTCTAAATACATATGACCTAAATATCGTCGCTTTTTCTTTTTCTTCTTCTAGTTTCTTTTACGCGTCACATTAAACATCTCGATAAATATGTAAGATGCATCAGGTATTATATGGTAAACGAGAAAGCAAACTTTCTACATTAGTTTCTAAATACTTGTCCCCGTGGTCTGTATGTTCCAAGATATGCACGGCAAATGGGACAGTAATGGTCCATGTTTCTGCACCTATTCATACAGTATGGTATCAGCCAACATGGCCAACATCTGTAACAGAACATTCCAATTATGAGAAAGAAAAAAATGGGAATAATTCGTGCAACTACTATTTTACGAGACAAAACTTTCATACCTCGTCGTCCTTTCATAATGCAATAGCTGTGGCATGAGTATTTGTAGAATGTCGAACTTGTATGGTGCATCGGGGGCATATTGCGGTGATAGGTCTCGAGGACCACTGTCTGCTTGCATTTGCTACAACGAAAACCATTAAGGCATTATATTTCTATCGAAACACGTGAATCTTATTACGTGAGACTGATGATCACAGATGATCCATAGAATGAGAAGCAAGAGGAATGCCTTGAGCTTGAGCATAACTGGGTGGAGGTATCGGAGCGATAAAAGAAGATTCGTTAGTCGATCGAAAAAGTATCCAGTTGTGCGTTCTTGTTACACGAGTCGCATATACATATGTATCGTAGAATAAGCAGTAGGTTCATCTCCCATGTAAGAACTTGTACCTGGCTGTCGCGCGAATCGCGGTATCTTACAACTTGCATTATCGAACGAAATACAGCTGTATTATGTGAACATTCAATACTTCGTCATTTATGGTAGACATGCATCGAAAACAATTGTTTAATAACTGCATGATACTCCACGATGGTCGGTGATCCGTTCCACGTCTAATTGTAAGTACGTCATTTCCCGCCAATTCTGCATTCGCCAGTGCCAAGTCCAACGATATACATATCTTGCAGAAATAAATTCAAACCTGCATTATCTTAATACGCAAACGTGGTATATTAAATAAATTAAAGCAGTCTTGTTCGATCACATCTTCCGATATACTACGTTACAAATTTCGTTATTCGGACTGGACTTGTTCGAGGAAAACCAAGTCTCAGATATACTAACGTTGATTGTATAGCAACTTCGTGGTTCGCAGTAATCGACATCTCCGATGAATTAACGAAAATTAATTGCTTTTTAAAATTGTGAAAATGCCGCATCGTGTAAATACCTGATTTTCTCATCTTTTGCCACGTACGTCGATTCCTGATTTGAAAAGGGTATAGACGATGTCGAATCGATAAAACACTTATCCGACGATGGTTGCATCAGGGTAAATTTAATCCACATTAAAGGAGCCTGTGTAGCGACTGTTCAAAATTCTTTTATCGCATCTGAACCACCATGAGCCTTCGTCAATAACGAAAATTCATTTGACGAACTTTCTGACCCTTTAATAGGTATAACCGTTTAATATGCTAATCAAATACCAGTATATTCTACAAAATTTTTTAATCTTGTCTTTTTAAACACTAGCAATAATGTACATACATATGTACCTAACGTAGCCGATTTCATTTCTTCCAATTTTTCCAAATTATCATCCACGTCTTCTGAATTTTCGTTAGAAAAATCTTTCGCTCTTCTTTCCTTGGAATCCATAGCTCTCTGAATACGATTAATACGTTCACCGACCGATCACCTTCCTTCGATAAATTTAAAGCTTCGTCTTTAATTGCTCCACGAATAACAATTCCATTTGACATACAACAAAAAAGTAGGTTAGAGAGATTTCTATGTTCCGGAAATTCCTTCGATGCGACCTAAATCCTAACGAATTTTCATCCGTGTATTCCAATTTACTTCGATTTTTTATCATCGATCACACGTTCTGTTTTACTAGCATCTTCACTTTCAAATGAATACTTTTGCAATTGTATGTTCGAAACAAAATGATAACATTTTAAACTGAGCGCTGCTCCAAGTATCTAAAGATGGCTCTCGACATCGGGGATTTATATTTATAATCTAAGCGAAGAAAGCAACGATTCCGTTGCAATTTGTACAAAAAGAAAAGACAATATGGTTATTTAACGTCTGATTCGTTTGGTGATACCTTCAATTTCAATTGAGTTGCAGTTTGTATAGAGAGGTGTCGAGTAAACTCGAACTTGTGTCATCGCGAGTAATCGCAGCTACCAAAAAATTGTGGCGCTGTGTTGAGCGTGCGCTGACGCCATAGTGTGTGCGAGAGGCGAGAACAGCCGAAATGGAGGAGAGTCAAACATCGGAAAGTGTCGCCGTGCTACCGGACATGTCCGAACCGTTGACGAGCGAGACCGAGGAGGCGTCTGCCCTAACGACTGAGCACGAGGCACATCCCGTCGCCGTGACGGCGAGCGTCACTCCAGTACCCGGTGTTCCTGGTGTTCCAGGAGTCGGTGTACCGGTTTCTTTACCCGTTGGTTCTATCATTGGTGTAGCGAACTCGACCAACGGCACGACCTTCAACGTCATCACTTCGGACCAACTACAGGTACGTCGAAACAGCCGAGTCTTCGGTCACTTTTCCCTGTCTTTAATACACAACCACGATACGAAACAATTTTCTCCGAGATTTCATGTTTTCCTCGCTAAAGAATTGTCGAACAGCAAGGTGGGGTTTTGCTCTTCGTGTACACACATAAGCTATAGTGTACACACATTTAACGCACCTACAGTGCGCCTGTCCATGCAATTCAACACAACACGTGTTTCCCTCGCGATTATGTTTTGTTATTCGTATAATCTTAACACCATGTATATTTTACAATAGTTCACTTACAATTAATAGACAATAACTGCAGTATTAAAAACGACTTTAATTTACATCCTGTGAATAGCACAATTTGAGAGAAACAGATATATGAAAGTTCTATAGAAAGGTAAATGTTAATAAGAAGCATTGTTATTTCCTTTACTTCCAGTTACCTGGTTCAGGACAGTTTAAACAGATGCTATGTGTAGACAACGGTTTCATTTGTGAACCAAGGCATGACAAAGATACAGATCCTTTACGTTGGAATGGAGAATTAAAAGCAACACATATAGTAATTCAAAACAGTACAGAAGAGCCTGAATCAGAGCAAATTCATGTCTCTACTGCAAACACTCAACCGATATGCAGTTGGTCAGAATCTGCTAATTTAGCAGTATTACCTGTTAGATGCAAAAATACAAATGCTGAATTACATAAAAGTAGATTTGGATCTGGAGGAAGGGGAAGATGTATCAAACTTGGACAAGATTGGTACACTCCGAGCGAATTTGAAGCGCTATGCGGGAGAGCATCTAGTAAAGATTGGAAACGTAGTATTCGATTTGGTGGTAGAAGTTTGCAGACCTTAATAGATGAGCAAATTTTAAAGCCACACGCTACCTCTTGTACTTGCGCGGCATGTTGCGATGACGACAGTGCAGTTAGTATACCATGTTACTTCATAATTCTTACTTATGTTTCAGTTGGAAATGCTAAAATTTTTGCGTATGGTAGACAGGTCCCGTTAGATTGTTTACCCCCTACAAGCGTAGAAGAAGGGCCAGAGATGCATCTGACGGAGAAACACCGTCGCGCAAGCTTAAAAGCGATAATTCACGCGATGGTAGTAACAATGATGAAAGCGACGGTGAAGTAGTTGTACCTGATAAAGAAGTATGGCCCCAGTTTGTTTCAACGGACGGTTTAGTTGTACAACAACCACAAGATCAAGATACCGTTGTTCAAAATGTACATCAAACGGAAAATGGGCAAAGCGACGATGTATTTAAAAAGCTTGACGAGATGTCGACTAAAATGTTAAAGTTGGCTTACGAATTTAGGCGTATCTTGGAAGAAGCTAAGGAAGTAAATAGACAACAAAGAAGAGAACAAGCGCTAGTAGCGCAATTAGGAGGTAGAGGAGATGTTATTGAGACTGTTGGTTTGCAACCAGCTTCGGATACTCATAACAAGAAGGTAAAGAATATTTTTCGAATGTAATAATCAGATTCTGTCTATATAACGGTTGCCCTTCCTTTACGATTTTCACCTATTTCTTCATTTCTAGTGTGCCAACTGCAACAGAGAAGCGTTTGCGGAATGTTCCTTATGTAGACGAACGCCGTATTGTTCCACATTTTGTCAGCGCAAAGATTGGGCGGGTCATCAAGTGGAATGTGTAAGAGGTGCTGCAGAAACTGTAATGCTTATAGTAGAAAGTAGCAGTGGAGATACTAGTGCTCTTGCAACAACTGCTGGGGACCAATAGCTAGTGTTCCTCACACCTATTCACCAAAGGGATATAGAAACTGAACAAACTAACATAGAAACTTCGAAATTAAAAGAAGGGACGAAGACTTAAAAAATATTTGTTTGATGACCAAAGGTCAAAAAGTTGTGTATATATAGTAGTAAATATTTTTTACGTACATAAGTTAAATTGTAATGATATTAAGTGTATAAGTAAATTTACACACAAGTTGAAGTTTTTAAAAATCAAAGTTCAAAATTATGCAAAATATTTGTAAAAGATCGTAAACCAAATAACTATAGAAATAAATCGTAACAAGCGCGTGCATACGTACACGTATTAAATTTTACGTTACATGTACAGAAATGTAAGTGTGCACACGCGTACATGTTAGACACACACACACACACACCACACATGCGCGCGCGTACACACATACACACTGTACACATGATAAAATATACATATTTCTATCATATCGTCTCATTCTTTTTCTTTTTTGTTTGTACGCATTATTTTATAATGCTACTTTTATTCATAAGATTTCTACAAAATCTGCTCCTCTATGTTTTACTACAAATACTTAGAAAACATAAAAAAAAAAGACACGATATTTAAAAAATTGTGTTTGTATTTTATAAACATGTCAAGTCATACATTTATAGCTTCCATTACGCATATTCACGACTTCGAAACACTGTTTTATACTCACAGTTGTGTATATTTTGAGTACAACAGTATCATAACATTTCCTCACTTGAAATAGCAAAAAATATTAATCTGTAGCTTTGTATACATACTATACAAATTACTAAAACAACATAAAAATCCTGACAAACGAGAGACGTGATATTTAATAAAAAAGAATGTATTATTTGGCTAGTATTTCTAACAAACGTTTCTTTTAGTCAAAATAACTGCGAACATTTTTTTATTCATTTTTTTATAGGTATTGTTAATATTAATTATTATTATTGTTGCTGCTGCTATTATTGCTATTACTATCGTGACAAGATGGTCGTCATAGCTATTTTGTCAAGTAGAATATGGAGATTTTCTTTGTTTATGTACAAAGTGGAAAAGAAAAATAAATATTGTTTTTAAATATTTCATATATCTTGATTTTGATTTTTTGATACATTCATTTGTTACCTTAAATATATATATATCCTTTTTAAATTTTTTCTAATTAAAATATAAACGTTACCTTTAAATAAACTACGAATTTGATTAATTGAGTTGTAGTTTCTTTATTCAAATTTTTGTAATGATACCATATTATTTACAAAATAATAATCATCTAATAATTTCCATAATGTTTTAATCTGTACAGAAAAGCACTGCTCGATTTGTTGGAAATTGCTAAATAACCACTACCTGGTGAAAAGTCAATGGCTTCTGGCATTGATATATTTGTTTGAAATGTCGGAAAATTGGAAAAGACAGTACATGATGGTAAATGCATCATTTTAAACGCATTATGTTTTTTATCTGAAGCCATTGCTAAGATTTCAGAATAGGGGTTAAATTTTAAATTAGTAATCGATGTTACGAAATTCAAAACGATTTTTAAAGGAACAGGATTCCGTTTCTCTAAAACTGTTTTCGTATCATACAAATTAACGACACCTTCTTTACTACCTGTTGCTAAAAATTGTCCACTTGGAGACATCGCGATAGACGCACAGGACAAACATCCATCATCTATTGCTCGATGAATGCATACGCGACTATTTATGTCCCAAATATACATCTCATTACCATCTTCAAGTGGCCAAAGAGGAATAACAGATAAAGTTAAATAAAGTATACATAACATCCTATGATAAATTATAAATGCTTACATAAAAAACTTACCACCATGTGTAATAAGTGTTTTACTGTCTGGTGTAAAGCACAATGATCTACACCTTGCATTCATCTTTAAAGTACCAATAAGCTCTTTAGATGAAATTGTTAATAAGAAGATGTCACCTAATCGTCCACAAAGTGCTAACATTTTTCCATCTGGAGATACTTCATATTTCTAAATGATTAATCAAAAATTTTGTTTTCTGTAATAATTAATGTTATTATAAGAATTGTTAGAACAGCAATTTTCCAAACCTGCATATTAGTAATTCCATGTGGTAAGAGTATTTTACATGTTTTCCCACTTATTAAATTATAGGAATGACAATGTGGATAATACTGCGAACCAAGTAATACTTCTGTACCATCTCTCAAAAATTTTGCAATACTAATAGGAAACTTCTTATACTGCATTGTGTGCAGTTTGTTATTTTCAATACCATCCACCTACAATTATATTATAATTTGTAGATTTTTCATTTGAAAATATAAGTATAATTAGTTCTTACATACTTACTTGAAAAAGAGATAAAATTCCAGATGTACCAGCAACCAAGGCTACAGTAGAAGATGGATGAAATTCAACACTTGTTACAACAGGCCCCTCTGTATGCGTTTGTTTATTAATTAGTGACAATGCTTTTATATCAATTATACTACTTGGCAAATTTTTTACTTTAGGTTTTTCCAAATGGCAACTATGCTAAAAACATACAATACAATTACAGATATACTCTAAAAAAAAGTGTTAAAAAGTTTTGGTACCTTTAATATTTCATTATTCAAGTCATCAGACTCTGTGTCAACTGTTTTGAGCTCAGCCCATTTTGGAGTTCCTACAAGTTGCTTATATTTGCTATGCAAAAAATCTTTATATAATTTCTCTGGTACATCATTGGGTAATCGACGATTTTGTGCTTTTGCAGCATCTTGTACTCTAATGAAAAATATAATTATTTCAATTGGTTTTCAAGTAACATATGCCATTTAAATACAATACTTTTGTTTTATTACTAAATAGCTTATTTTCTTAAATTTTATGTACATACGAATATTGTGTGTCATCTTCATCAATCCATGCTGCCTTTTTGCAATCTCTTTCACAAGTATCATTGTGTGTGCTCGAATCATTATTAATATTATTATCTGTAGGGGAATCCTTATCACTTTTGTTAACATTCGGTTCGTCAAAATCTTTGTCATTTGATAAGTTATTTATGATATCACTTGGATCACCAAATACGATTCTTTCTAACCTGCATAGGACTAATATTATAAATTCTCTTAATTATTTAAAACAATTTTTGCTATCTTTGTGATTATACCTAGCCTCTTCTATCGGATCGTATACACTTTTGCGCTTTTTTCTTAAAGGTGCAGTAAATTTTTGATCATACAACGTTTTTGAAACCATGCGCTTTTTCTTAAATTCTTTATTCACTTCTAACTTCTCCTTTTCTACTTTATTCGTCTGCATAGTGAACTCACTATTTTTTGTAATCTTTTTAGTACAATTTGAAACACGTTCAAATAATTAATTACATATAACGCACTTTTAGCGCAGCTTTATCTGCCCACACTTCAATATTCCTACATACACGCATATGTATGTTAACCATCTAATTGTAAGTAATAATGCTTTCTGTATGACTGTTTTCTTTTACAAAACTAACAACTTTATAATTTTCAAAAATTCTCAGTAAATTACAAATATTAAAAACAAGTATATTTTATTTAATCAACCAAATTTCTGCGAATTTTTACTTATTTCTAATTTTATTGAATATTAAGCGTTACATTAACCATTGATACCTAATCAAACAACTGTATAAATCGCGTATGCGTAAAAAACGGTATTACACTTTTTGTTCGAAAGATACTTTTTAAAACATAAAAATGATTAAATCACAATGATTGTTTACAATAAATTTATTCAACGATAATTTTTAAATCGTTGCCTTTATTTACTTTTAAGTAAGAATGTACGATCACAATCGGCACTTGATGTACAATCGGAACACGTAAAAATTTAACCCTCTTCGTTAAAAGATGATAGTGAAGATTTAGAATCAATATCAGAGAATAAATGTTCTTCCTCCATCGTAAATAGAGAAGGACATTTCGGTTGATACTGTTCCACAGCTTCCAGAAGACTGCTTGGATATCCAGGAGAGTAATATCTAAAAGCAGAAATTAAATTTACAAGTTAGGCAAGAATTGAAAAGGTTTTCAAATATAAAGGAAAAAGAATAAAAGAATTTTGAATGACAATGAATAATGATTGTTGAACATTTAAAAGATTAATCCGTGTAGAAATTAATTGTAAACTGATGAAATTCAACGGTACAGAGCGAAGTAAAAGCGAAGGTACATTTAGAAATTTATAAACTTTCGCCCAACACTGCATTAAAACATTGTCAATAAATACAATATACTATGAATCATCTTATTGTAGAAACCATTGAGTTCACATAAAATTATTGATCCACTAAAATCCAAGTTTATATTTTTCCAATGCAATCAGCTGTGACAACATGGCGGTCACGCCGTATATTACCTGCCCGATTTAAATTAAGACACACGATCCAGAAACAGAGCTGCGGTTATTTGCATTCGCTACTCGTATAAACGACTACGAGAAGACTGGACTTTTTCATCGACAAGAAATCGCGTTTCCGGATTTCCTCGGTAAGTAAATTTTTACTAGGGTTATGTCAAAAGCAACTAGTGTTTTTTGATAATTATCTACTCTTACCATTATCTTTACATGCATATACTTCCCAGGGAGTATTGGTATTTTAATTAATTTGACAAATAAAGGAATTCAATATATGATGGCATGAAAAACAAAGCAACAATTTTTCAATGAATTAATGTTTTAAATAATCATATAACTTAATAATATAAAGACTATAAGCTCTAGTTTTCTTCAACAACTTTTAAATTATAATTATTGCATTTATTAGCATATTTTAATTAAAAATTTTCTACTAATGTTTTAAGAACATAATATTAAGGATATAAAACAGAGTTTATATCCTCAAAATGATTTTTTTTATTAAAGCAACGTCCGAAAGTAACGTAAAATTGAAATCAACCTGATAATTTCTTCTGGAAAACAACAATTGATAATCTGTATGTATTCCAAAAGTATTGAACCAGGATCAGCTTGGATTTCTTGTACCTTTTTTAATCCACCAGATGTTACAAATAATCTTCTTGCCCTGGCATCATGAGGCAAAATCTATGTAAAAGAAGAAATGATCAGATAATTAAATGTGAAATCCTTTATACTGTTCATTTTTTAATGTTCTCATTGTCTGCATGTATAAGTAGGTGGTGAGAGAAACATTATTAGCAATCAGTTTGCATGTTGCAATGCACCTAAGAATAAGGCTTCTGAAATCTGACCTACACATTCTTTGAATGAAATGTCTAATGTAAAATTACTTTTCTATATGTTTTAGTTTACAGTGAATCAAAATTATTACAATTAATCTTAATTATTTAAATCTTCTCAACGCGTGATGTTCTTTATTTCGTTAAAAAATTAGTGAAACAATACTATATACGCTAAATTACTTAGAATATTTTGTTTCAATTATGACGCGCAAATCGAAAAGCCCCGATTCAACAATTTTATATCAAGATAATAACTTTTCTAAATCGCTACACAATCGCTAATAAACATTTATTTGTGAATAAAAGTAGTTCGTTAATTGAATTTATACTAATTACGGGTATTTATCAATTAAAGTAAATTATCGATTGTTTCATTTTCAACTGTTCGATTAATTTTTTAACGTACTCACCTTTTTCTCTCATAGAATTACAAATTAATTAGTGGAATTTATGAAACAATAAACAAACAATCCTTATACTCCTCGTTTAATATCATTGGGTAAAATGTAATTTTCACTTGTATGTATGATTAATTTATTCATAAGTATTATAAACAAATTGTTTTTTTATCATTAAATGTATTACAAACATTATATGCGATGTATTGTATCCGGAGCCAAATCTGTCTACTTTATCCATCTTCTTCGTCGCCAAAAATATCTCATTTTCGAAAACAAAATTCCAGAACAAAGTCGTGGGATAGCATGTTTGTCGCAAACCTGTTGACAAGCTTTAAAAATTTTTTTCGTTGTTTAAGCGGATTGTTTTCGTAATTTAATATGTATTATTAAATTTTTTCAGCTGATTCTGTATGACATTAAAGATCGGCCGCTGGGGGAAAGGAAGGAGGTTCAGATCCCGTTGTTTTGATAATCACCTTTGGAATTAATCTTGAGCTATTGCTGTCTGTCTTATTATAAGCTATAATTTTTTAATAAAACTTAATTTGAGGAAATTTTTGACTGCTAGAAGCAACAGTCTTTGAATTTTTGAAACATTTTTTAACATTATTGATTAGAAAAAGGAAAAGGAAAAAAATAAATGTGTACATAAAAGTATGTAAGAAAAATGTGAAAAAAAGATTGAAATATTAATTATAAACAAAGCTTCAAATACAACGATTTTAATAAAATAGTTGAAACAGTAATTTGAAACAGCTTAAAAGATAAAAATCAAGGTTGAAGATTATAGGGAGACTTAAAGTATAATAATTAAAAGATAACAAGACCGAGACAGATGCCTTAAAGTTCAAACATATAACAACATAAGTGATAAAAGGAGATGATATCATTGTATGCAAAAGTTAAATTGCGCTGTGTACTAGATGGTACTGTCTGTAAGATTTCTAGCAAATATTTCTGATATCATTGAAGCAGAAGTCTGTCACTTATAAGAAGTTAATTTGTCGCACAGCTGTGCAGTGTAACTACAGAAGCATCACAAGCCGCATGTGAAATATATTCATTATTGATTACTGTAAATCATAGGTATAGACAACACTGATCTGACACTAAGTAAGAAAGTGTAAAATCAATACTAGACATGATAAACAATCAACATTGCGTTATTCTTAATTCGGGAGAGACCAATAGCTACCATCAGCCAGTCTCTGCGAAACCTTCTGTTGTTTCTGTATCAAGTATTGATTCTGATGTGAGTGATAGAAGAGATGTACGTGAAGAACTTTATGCTGGAATATTCAGAAGACATAGGAAGACCATACTGGTACTAGGCAGTTTTCTCAAAATGTTAAGGGTGAATAGAAACATGAACAATTATGCTAGTATTAAACCTAATGATGACAATGATGAATAAAACAATGATTTTGTTGCATTAATGGAGTAGCAGACAAAGTATAGTTTTTTATATTGATACAAATTAAATCAGTAATATTGTTGCTGTGTAAAAAGATTAAGTACAATTTAATTATCTTAACTATTAACATTAGAACATGTTGATTTAATTTTTTTCACAATACTTTGTACTTACTAGTTGTCTCTTAAAAAGAAACTTATCTTACGTAAGGTACTATCTTGGTAAATATTTATCTTTGAATTGTGTGCAACTGTCATATATTATGTTTAGATTTGTTTACCACGATGATTGTGCAGAATCGTAAATTTGTGCTCGCTAACGTTATTTTATACGACTTAAGATAAAAAGAACATATGAATTTATTTCTACATCATTTTTGTAACATTACTCATTGATAAAAGATATTTAAGTTTCGTTTGTAATAATACAACAGAAAGGTCACATGTTATTTTTAAATGTAAAAAATTATAGCACAAATTATCATCTACTATATTTTTTGCAAAACAAGATTTTCTAAGTAGACAACATTTAAGGTATAAAATATTTTATACAGA